GGTCAAATTAGTGATTTAACTTCATCAACTCTGAAAAAATTAATTAAAAATTAAGGGCAACTGGATCTATTATTGATCTTAAACACTCTGGCGTCCTTTAACAAGTCGTTTAACACAAAACATAGAAGCAGTTCGTGGCAGTGTTGCTGAGAATGTGTGGCTCTATACAGCGCATTCTCATGTAAGATTTGCATCTTCACGCTTTCAAAGTTCTGCTGACTCAAGAACTGAAACCTACTGATATGTATGGCGAAGAAAATTCGTTGAATGCATTGTGGAACAACAACAAATGGAAGTTTAGTTTTCGAACAAAATCATCTTCGGTGGCTCATTTTCATCTTGATAGCTTGGTTAATAAAGTGTCCCATTTGGGGGTCAGAAAATCTATGAGTTTGTAGAGTCATTAGGTTGATTGGAAGCAAAAAAGATGAAAAATATGCACCGCCTTCGCCGGGAATCGAACCACGGACCTCTGGAATACCGGTACAGCGTGCTACCGTTACACCACGAAGGCACGCTAGGGAAGTGGAAGAAATACCTTATATACTCCCCTTCTTAAAGGGCGGCTATGGTTTTAGGGGACCTAGTCGCCAAATCCTGGGTGCGGAGAATCATCATCCACAACCCTTTTAGTTCGGGCGCCACTTGTAGAGTCATTAGTTTAATTGGAAGCAGAAAAGATGAAAAATATGCTACCGCCTTCGCCAGGAATCGAACCACGGACCTCTGGAATACCGGCCCATGTGCTACTGTTACACCACGAAGGCACGCTAGGGAAGTGGAAGTTCAGAAAATCTTGAGTAACAAATGTAAGATCTGTCTCTGCCATTCCACATAAACTAAATTAGATCCTACAATGAACCTGGCGAATTCTTGCACAGGCGTGAATTAAATACGAACACAGAAGAAGGGTGAAAATAACCCTTTATTAATTCAAATTAATTTAACAGAGGGGCACGGACTTCGTACGTTGCAAAAACACCGTCCACTTGCGGTGGAAATTAGACGTAGAATATAATACAAGTCAAACCTGAAATAAATAGTGCAAGAGCGCACTTAAGTTTGTACCTAAGAGGTGGACTCACGGGAATCTAACCGGCTTGATACTAATCTGATAAGGCCAAGTGGCTTACTAGCGTGACCGCGAAATAACCACGAAACGTGCGCTTGGCTAGCGAAACACGCTCTGAATAAACTGAGATACTCACACGTTTAAATAGCACTTCACTTAACTCTAAATTTATATCCTGGCGAGAGAATGTGAGGGGAAGTTGAGAAGTTTAGAACAGGTAATCAAACCTAAAATAAATTTGTTATGTAAAATAAGGAAAACCCTACAATTTCCCTCGCCAGAATTTAACTATAGCCCTTTCAGTATGTTTTTTTCTTTTAACAGTTCAACCTTTCCTATACTTGCTCAATTCAATCTTTCTATCCACGTTAAGACTCCCTCTTGCTCTCCAGCATTGTGTACCGTAAAATACGAGCGTGCTTTATGTAAAACGAGTACAACACTTACCGACTACCCCGCATTTACTTGTTAGAGTTAAACCATCTAGACCTAGACAGACATCCTACAATCAAATCTCAGCCTGAGGTGCTAACACTAGTGAAAATTAACTTAGTGTTGTCTGGAGAGCCTAACCTTTTAAATTTTATTCATTCTCAAATTATCTTAACTTCTTTTTAGTACTTATCATCAGTATCTCTTTCATTCGAAACACAATTTCAAGCATACAAAATACTTTAAGTAATTCAGAATTCAAACATTTTTACATAATCAATTTCTTACTTTACTCCGCTGAAAATAAGCATAGATTAACTATATGCACGAATTTCTAACACTTTGAGTAACGAAGTACGTTTTCTTGATATCATACAAACATTTTCCTACCACAGTCTCTCGACCGAAGTTAATACTTTGTTCTAACAAGGCGAAGATTATTTGTTAAACTTTCTTACTTCTTATAAACATTTAAAGCTTATTGCTTAATACAAAAATTTTAAATTACTTTCATAATGAAAAAACAACTCTTTTTAGCTTTTTGCCAAACACAAAATTGTAAGCTTTTTACTAAATACAAAATTGTAAACTTCTTACTAAATACAAAATTGCAAGCTTCTTGCTAAATTAAACAAATATTGTCTTCTTCCCGAGGCAAAACTGAAATAAATATTTTCAACCAACTTCGTTCTAGATTTTAAAATAAATTTAAATGGAATAATTTTGACTTATCTTTTGTTTGGCATACAGTCAGTTTTACATGTCAGTTTGTTCAGTCATTCTCTTTTTGACGAAGTCTTCCCATGATAGAACTTGATTTAGTTGTCACACTCGGATCCGCTGCTGGAGCTGGCCGTTCCCGTTGCTCTCCGTTGCCGGCCGTTTTCTTTCGATACCTCTGTCCCAAGCTGGTTTCTTTCGGCATTGGTCTACTGCGTGCGCTCGACGCTTTCTGGCTGTGGCCGAAGAACCTCCTTAGACTGGCCGGGGAATTTTTGGCTGGACCTCCGTAGGATTTCCTGAGTTTCTTAGAATCTAATGGACGTTTCCTATGTGGAACTTGAGTTGCTAACTTATTCTTGTCTTCTTTCGTTAGTGGCTGCCGTCGTGAGTTCTGATGACTCAGTTGCTTTTTCTTCCCCATTTGCCTGCTTGTCGATCTTTTGCGGGGTCTAGTTTGCCCTCCTTTTCTCAAAACTTTATTTCTCTTAAGGAGTGTTTCGATTTTCCGCTTGTTCATACATTTAGGCTCTTGAAGTCGAAGCTTCTATCCATCCGGCTCCAAGACTCTGTCTTCTTTCTATTTGTTCCCGGGTGAACGATTTGTGCTGCTGAGGGCCCTTCTTCTATGTTTGAAGTTTCCTGAAAAAGATCTTTAAAAACAGGCATCTCGTTACAATCATAGTATTTTTTCACTTTATCCACATTGGCAGTGATATTTCCTTTTTGCTTCCTTTTAAATATAAAACTGATCCACAAATACGTTCAATCACGTAGGTGCCTTCAAATCGCGGGGGAAATTTTGACACTTTTTCGAGTGGCCGCAAGACAATGCATGTTTTCTTTTGAGTACTTTGTCCCCAGGTTTAAAGTCTCTTCTTTTCTTATTATATTACAGTGATTTTTTTTTCTCTGGCTACATCTGAGTTTTTGATTGCATCATTAATTAACTTTTGGATCCTTTTGTTTATCCTTTTGTTTAAATTCTGCCTCCCTTTTCTGGACAAAAAATAATTTATCTAAAGGGGTAATTATCTTCCTTCCCAGAAAGAGTTCATAAGGGGCCTTTCCCGTGGTATCATGCTTGGCCGTTCTGGGGGCGTACGCCAATTCATTTACACAGTCATCCCAGCGCCGGTGATACGTTTTTACATAGCTCCGAATGATTTTAACTATGTTTCTCTTTACGCGCTCGGCAATATTTGACTGCGGTCTGTAAGGGACCATCTTAAGTTGGCGGATGCCAAGCCCTGCATACAGCTCCTCGAAAATTTTACTAACGAATTGAGGGCCGTTATCTGATATTACCCTAAGCGGTGCACCCTATTTTAAAATGTATTTATTTAGAAAAGAACTGGCTACAATTTTCGCTGAGGCACTTTTAGGGGGGGGGACTATTTCTAACCATATTGAAAAATGATCTACTATAACTAGTAAATATATATATTTCTATTACTTTTACTTTTTGGAAATGGACCCAGTAGATCTATTCTAATTAACTCAATAGACTAGGAAAATAGAATAGGAAAGTAGCTCTTATACTATTTATCTTATACTAGCTCTTATACTATAGATACCCGGCTGGGCTATAATTTACATCGTTAACTAACTGGCATGTATGGCAGGACCTGACATACTCGGTTACCACTCTTTGAGTTTGCGGGGAAAAAACTGCCACGCGCGCTCTTTGTACTGTTTTCCGAATACCTTGGTGACCAGCAGTAACTGTGTCGTGCAATTAGAGTAAAATACTGAGTCGCAACCCGGCTGGAATGACTGGCCATATTTCACTGTTCTCATTTGTTGTTTTAGTATAAAATAATAGTTTATCGTCTATTTCATAGTTTGCTGCTCTATTCCTTATGGCCACTATATCCGGATGTTCAAAATTTTCCTTGTCTTGCAAGTATGCATACATATGCCTATAGTCTGGATAATTTTTTAACTCGGAAATAATTGTTTCCCTGGGATCTAATACTTTTGATGTTAATATGGCGCATTTATTTCTTTTCTTTCTTCGTCCAATTTTATTCGAGATAATGCGTCTGTCACTATATTTTCCTTCCTCGGTGTGTGTTTAATTATTAAGTTGAATTCTTGCAGTTTTAATGCCCATCTTATGAGTCGCGGACTTAAGTTTTTTCCGGAGTATAGTCGTCCCTAGTGGCGTGATCTGAATACACGACTATCGGTGTCTTACCAAAATAAACTCTGAACTTCTACACCGCTAATACCGCTAACAAAGTACGGCCAAGGTTTCTCTTTCCGTAGCAATTACGTTGCGTTTTAGTCAGGGTTTTTGAAAATTACGCCACAGGCTGCTTATTCTGCGCCTGCTGTAAATTTAGCTGCTTCCTATTTACATAATATTAAATTTATCATGAATGAAACTTTTAACGTAATAGAAAAATCATCGTAAATTTATCCATCTTTTGTTTTTCACATTTTAAAAATTCATTTCATAGTTAATTTTATTATTATAAGTGCTTTTTTGTGAATTTTTAAATCATTTACTTATTATATTTGCAGGTTAGTTAAGGTATTTGAGGCTAAATCGAAGTAAACATAACACATTGTAAGTCAAGAATAATAGATGTGTACGAATGCTTGAGAATCCATACAAAAAAAAATCAAGCTTTCCTTTTTCTTTCTTTCTTTCTTTCTTTCTTTTTTTCCTTTTTTTTTTTTTTTTTTCCCGCTTAACTGACGATTAAAGAAGTAGGTCCTTTAATTTGGCAACATGTCCTAGACGAGATAAAAATTATTGACTTCAGGCTGGCAACAAGGAGCTGTACTACCATTTCCCTCGTGTTTCTGCAAGGCACGTTAATAAACATAAAAAAGGTAATTTATATGAAAACATATATTTATAATATCATTGTTTTATAAAGCACAGTAATTAGTCAATTTTTTAAGGGGTGAAGTTTTGAAATCTTGAGCACTAAAAGATAATACTTAATTTCCGGTTATTTTTATTCGCGCCTTATGCCGCGATGCTTTGTTTAATCCTTTAATGTTAAGTATTCGTAATGTACATCAGGCATACGATTTTTTTCTTTTAACTATGCCAGTTTGATAGTTAATAATATGGCATGTGATATTTATGTTGATTCTACAGTTTGGTTGCATGAATGTGTATGTATTTTGTTTAGTTTTTTTTTTTTTTTTTTTTTTTTTTGTGCTTACCAATTTCTGATTATGTGTACACTAAATATTTTGATAGTATATTAATTACTCTGTGTGTGTTCACAAATTATACTTTTGTATATTTTAACTATTAATTATTGGATATTCAGAAATCATTATCTCAGTATAATATATTTGATAATTCAGTCGGGGAAATTTCATTAAAGCAAATTTTACAGAGATACTTAACTGGAGAGAATTTTCTGAATTAGTCTGTTATCTGATTTAATTAAATAAATTTAGGAAATTAGATTGAGATCCCTTATGTGTGTTATGTTTGTAAGTGATATCATCAACCGTATGAGTATTTTTTACATGTGAAAAATCGTCATTTAACAGTTTGTTTTACTATACAGTGCTACTGTTCTTTCTGTCTGCACTATGAATTTCTTTTGTTTATAATTTTAAATACTTTGAAATGTCTGCCTTTAGTTCCAGCAGATTACTTTAAATGTATTAAACAAATTATCCTCCTCTTTTATTTCATATTTTATCTTTGAAATTTAAAACAAATTTTATCCATATCTGATTAGATTAGAGACAAGTAAGATTACAAAAAAAGTAGTTGGCAAATTCTAAAAATATTTTTAAAATTAATGGGCATTACATTTAAAAACTGAAAGACAATATTTTAGAGTAATAAAGTACAGTTCTGTTATGCATTTTCTGCACTGTGATATTTTCGCTTCGCTAAAAAGAAAAGTATGGCCACAATTTGAGTTATAGAAGCTCATGTTTTTTTTTAACACCATTAATTAAAAATGTGGCTCAAATATAAGTCTGCAATTTTTTTATTATTTTTAAAGATGATATTTAAACTTTACATATTTTTTTATCTATTTAAAATGAAAGTTTTTAGTTTTTTAAGAAGCACGACATTGCCTACTTTAGAAATCAAGTCCTTGGTAAGATTTAAAGGCATGCTTACCTATATAGGTCATTTGTTTTATTAATATGAGTTTCTACAGTTTTCAGTTAATTGTAAGCAGCTGCATTTATTGGTGTATTGCTAACATTGAAATATGATCTAATATTGCTTTTATATAGACCTTTTCCATTTTTTAAGCTAGCTTTCTGTCTGTGTATTTCATTCAAAACCATGGTCATCAAAATATAACAAGTTGGTGGATTTTTCAGGACGTGATATTGACCTAATATCCAACTTTACTGCTGTAATATCTTGGGAGTATCAGTCAAATTAAAAGCATTTCCAAAAATAAATTGGTAGAATTTTAGAAGGGAGGAATAAGGGAAACTGAATATTGCAAGTTTCATTCCAGTTGTAGGTGTATTGTACTTTAGTATATAATGTAATGTTTTAATGATACGGATAAAATCCTAGGAGAGCCCACACCCTTAGCGACAAACTGAGAAAGTGCAGAATCACCCACTGCTTCGCGCATTTCTCAAAATCGCCAACTCGAAAATAACAAGTAAAAAATTGCACAAACTCGGTATCCATGTACGCATCGACTTATTTTCACTTTAAAAAAAATCGCAACATTGCACAAACTTGGCATTTTACACTTCTTTGACTTTGTCCATGTACACATCAATATGCATCATACAAGTGGGTGCGCCAAGGGTATGTTAAGATAAAGGGCAAAATAAGGTGGGTAATTTCTTCACAGTATTAATATTAGCGAAAACATTGACAAGTGAATATAAAACAGTTCTTGGGAGCAGTGAAATATGCTTGGACTTAAATTGTAGGTACAGTACAAAGTCCGAAATCCGGACATTCATTATCTGAAATGATCTAAAATCCAGATCTCAAAACCAGCAACATTTTCTCGTAGTCTTTTACGCTTGCACATTTTATTCCCCCCCCCTGCACATAATAAAACATCTGGAAAGTTCCGATTCTTAATTTCACTTCAACACTAAATAAAATACCTTGTTATTGAAGAAACCATCATTTTAGCATAAATTTGTACGATCAGTAATGCGGTTGCATATTTGCTTTGGCACACATCTCAAACCAAAACATTCCACATATATACATCGTTGATTTAACACTAACCTGGTGAATCGTTATTTGCTTTCCTGTCATCACTGCATGTTTATCAAAACATGACCGTAAGAGTAATGACTCCTGTAGCAATGCCTAAATGATTTTTTTGTTAGTAATTGAATAATAAAGTGATAACCTTTTATGTTGACATTACACATGGTGGTGATTACAGATTTAAGTTAAATGCGTTAAGAAATGTTGGCAAGGAAAAATTATCAGAAATTTCGGTTAATCTTCGGATTATGGTAACTTTCCAATTTTTTGGCGATCAACCCTACTACAGCAACCTACTAGTTTTTTTTTTTGGACGCCATTTTGTTTTCATGAAGTAAAGGCATGTTTTTTTTTACTCAAGATTTTTTTCCAACAATCTTCTAGCCGAATTACGCTTATGCTAGAAATTTTCTGGAACAAAAGTGCTTAATCATGATGAAGATTAGGTGCGAAATTGGGAGAAAGTGCAGAACTGCCCACTGCTTGCCGCATTTTTAAGAATTGCACATACACTCTATCCATGTACACGTCGACCTATTTTCATTTAAAAAAAAATCCTAGAATTGCACAAAAATGGCATTGCGCACACTCTTGACTTTATCCATGTACACTGCTAAAGTCCTAGCTAGTAACCTTTATCGCCTTACCAAAATGTCGCCAAACTACCTGTCCATGTACACTGCTAAAGTCCTAGCTAGTAACCTTTATCGCTTTACCAAAATGTCGCCAAACTACCTGTTACCATATTCCAAAGATTAGCCAAAATTTCTTTCCATATGCTAAAAATAGATTTTGTTGATAATACTCATAGACCCAAAGATTACATTTAGGGCTGTTAGAATTAAGAATACTGATTTGTTATTCACATAAACCCTCAACCAGCGCCAGGGCTCAAATGGCTGCACTGAGTCGTCGAATTTATGACCCAGAAAGGCAGTAAGATATCTAGCATCGACCCTCAGTAAGGCTTAAATATATGTAGGAATTTATTTATTCAGAACTCTAAGCATGTGCAAGAAATAGACATAAGTATAATACATAATACATTCCAGGCTTAATTGTCTCAGTGCACAATAGAAATGAGATAAAATTTAACAGAACAACTTGTCATTAGTCGCCAAGCTCATGATGCATAGCCAAATATGTATAGTGAAGGATAGCTAAATTTGATGATAGCCACTAATTTTAAAGGTTTTCATATATCGCAAAACAAAGGTGAAATTTTCCAGTTAACGGATTTTGTACAAAAATGTGGTGTAGTAATAAAATGATATAAAAGAAGTTTTTCATTGTGATGACAATGTTCCTCAATCAATGAATGGTGAAATCTGTAGTATGGTTCTATATCAAGAAAGTACTGCTATCAATAGTGAAGAAAGTGACAGAGAAATTAACTGAAAACGAGAAAATTTCAATTAAAAAGTTAGTCAGAATTCTTGAAACAGCAGTTACAGGACTTCAACTATGTAACTCAACAAGAGATTGTCTTTTTACTGAATTAAAGAGAAAGTAATAGCACAAAAAATGAAGCAACTTAAACAACTTAAATTGAAAGAAAAGTTTAATAAGGTAAAATAAATATTAAGCTTTTTTGGTAAATTGTGATACTCTTTAGATCAGCAATACTTCAATATTTCATAAATCATGATTTCATGTTTTTAATTTTATAATTTCTACATGCCATCTTACTAGATTTAAACTGATCTAATATCCGGAATTGCCGAAGTCCCGACGAGTCCAATTTTCGGACTGTGTAACTTAGAAATTAGGTATTTCCACTTTGTTTCGCAAGTGTGTTTGAATTTAAGAACGCCCATGTTCTATTTACTGTATAGTAAAGAGTAATGTTACTGGTTACTAGACCGAAACATTATAAGAGCTCATAGAAAAACTCAAAGTTTTAATGATAAAATTAATGTATTATTGATGATATCTGAGAAATATCTAAAAGGGACTTGTGAAAGCAATCAAGATAGTATACAGTACCTACAGTTAATATATCTTGTTATAAACATTATTTGCATTAGATTAACATCTTTAAGAGGAAATGGAAGTTGTTACCAAAGAAACTGCATTCAAATAATATAAATGATAAAAATAAGCATAAACATTAAAACCACTTTTAATTTTTAAAACAAAAATATATCACAAATGCTACAAACAGAAAGTGCTTTCATATAAAAATGTTATATGTATCCAAATAAAATAAGTGTGCATGAAAATTTATTAAATTAACGTCTTGAATGTTGTCAAGCTGAGTTCTAAATAGTTGGTGCTTTCTGATTATTTGCACCTCCACTGGGAAATCATGAACTTGCTGCCAACTTTAGAGAGACACATTTGCTTGGATATCCTTTAATCTGTTTCAACGATATGATACATCCACTGCCTCCCATTTTTTTATGTTATATTTTGTTATCTTTTAATAGACTTGTACACTTCGTGGAGACAGTTCACTAATTTGATTGCTGTGTTTGGGAATAATCCCAGTCCTTTGGCCAACAATAAATAAAGTGAACAGCAGTTGAAAATGAGATATGGCTATCTCCAAACCAGATTTGATAAATAAAGTGAACAGCAGTTGAAAATGAGATATGGCTATCTCCAAACCAGATTTGGTTTGCATTTTCCCCATACTTAGCTTGCAATTTTTCATATTGCATTTTCATAAAATTCAGTCGTTTAAGTGCAATTTGTATAGAACATGGATATTTTACTTTCTCTTTTGCTTTTTATGTTGTGGCATATTTCTGAAGAAACGCAGTACTCTCTTTTTCATCAACTAGAAATCCACAGGGACCTATTATGAATCATTACTACAAAAGCAAGTGCACTGAATGAAAAAAAATAACTAATCAGAAAAAATGCCTGTTTAATTTCAAGTGTAAATTCACATGCTGTGGGCCTGCTCGAATTGCCTCATAATACTTTTTGGCGACATGGTACATTACTTTGTCAATATTTTCATAATTGCTCAATGGGGCTGCAGATAATCAGAAGAAGAAAAAAAAAAAAGCTCAGTGGTTGACTTTTTGTGCTGTATGTTATAAGATGTACCTTGAATAAGTAAATTTATGCATTTACATCACATTGTATAAAAACTTTAAGATATTTATCGTTTAGTAAAAACTAACATAAGAAATTAAATTTTTTGTATGATATTTATTTAATAATAGCATTTTGTTTTGTTTTTATTAGGATAAAACAGCAGTTTAGTTGAACAAAGTTCACATAGATTAATAAAGTAAGTGTTTCATGATGTAGTAATAGATTTTGAAAAAATATTGTCCTAGAAAAGGAACATCCTAATATAATACTCACCATTTGTCATTTATGCTAAAAATTAGGCTTGCATTTTAATCTTGAAAATATGTGTATATAATTTTATAGCTCACCTTGTATACCTAATGAACAGAATTTCCAAGATATTGTTAAGTTTTTTTTATTCTTCTGACACCAGTTGTTACGTTATTTTCTTCCTACACGTTCGTACAGGGTTCGTAGAATTAGAGTGAATAACGACAACAGCACTTGATGGGATATCGAAATACACTTTATTTACCAATATTAATCAGGACAGCTCCAAAACACTTTTACAGTCGTCGAAGGTCTACTATAAACTCACTGGAACAATCGGCGACACAGCCTTCAGGTTATCAGGCTAGAAGGTGCAGGCAGCTTCATGGCAAAGCACTAGAGTACAGCTTCTGACTCTGCTTGGTCGTTCTTGGAACTTCTCGTACTCTCGAGACTCTCCACGCTACAACTCGCGATGCACTCGACGACACTTGGAGCACAGCTCCCGACTCTTCAATTCAATCGTTCCTGAAGCTCAACACGTTCTCTCAACGAGGCACTAACCACTATACGCTACGGGACTCTTTCGGCGCACTCGCTGCCCGGCTGTCAACTCGATTGACTCTCTAGACAGAACACTAACTCTATACTAACTGACTATCAGCTCTCCAGATGAGGCACACACTCGATACTAACTCTCTCTCACTCTATGCGAGGCACACACACACTAGCTGACTGCAGACCAGCAGTTTTTATATAGTTTTCGACATGTGTTCAAGCACATTCTGGGCTAAAACAGGTAAGAATTCGTTCCAGAAGGTTCTCTATATCTCCAATTTTGTCTCCAAATGGGCTATTTCTCGCCAAATGTGGCAATCCTGCCTTCCCTTGCCATTGGCAACCCTAAAACAACTTTGTGGGGGAAGCCATCCCGCTGCGCCTGTACATTTCGTAACAATATGTTTAGTGAGAAAGTCCAGTAGTCTTCATTTGAAGAGATTGTACTTTTTCTAATATATTAATTTTTAGATCTATTTTAAGCTTTTCTTATTGAAGAATTAATAAATATCAAAATATTTTTTTCCCTTTTCCTGTAACCATTGATCAGTAACTTGCATAGTAATTCAGACACTTCAAAGTTTTGCCAATGTATGTTTTGATAGATAGTTTTTGTCACAATTTTTTGTTTAGCCTTTTAATGGTCATCAATGAGTTCAGCCTGCATTCCAATTATGCACCACAGTGAGCACAAACATAGCTTGCATTATAAATTTACAACTGACAAATATCTGTTTTTGGGAAAAAGGAATTGCTTAATCTCACTACTGCTAAAGGATTGCATGAAAATGCATCACAAGAATTATCGTCTGCATTTGAAATTTTTTTTAGCAAACTATATTAACAGTTCCCTGTCTGAAGTGAACATGGGAAGTCATTACAAATTAATGACAAATTCTGTTAGAAATTAATCATCTTTTCAAAGGTGGTAAAAATGTTCGAAATATTTTAAAATCTTTGATGTAAAGTGCTCAAATATCTCTGATATTATAAGATGGTAGAAATTGTTTGAAACTGTTGAAAATTCATTAACATCTGGACTACATACCATAAACTTAGTGTTGGCAAGCTTTCGGGAGATTTTGAAGAATGTGTTTTGCTATAAAAGTTAACCCTGAAGGTTTTACAAAAGTCACATGGATACAATGCGCAATTATTAAAAAGGATGTTCTTTGTCTATAAGGAGAATACTTCTGGCATTAACAAAATTCATAGTAAATAAAAATGTATCTTATCGGAACAGTATTATATTTACAAAGTCAAAGGTCAGGCAAACAAATTATTGAGTGACAAAAGCAGAATGAATTTAATTCAAAAACCCTCTTGCCTGCTGTTACAGGCAGGGGTAGAAGCATAATGATTTGTGGATATTTTGCTGCCTATGAGATGCTGAACTTAAATGGTTATAGAAAACAAGGTGCTACTTTGGTAGACAATTGCACAGAGTTTTGGCGATTTATGTTTGTGCGGTTTCTACAATCATCAGCCATCTTGAAAAACGCTCTTTTTACATAGTTTACACATAAAGTATTCGAAACTTAAAAAAAAAATATTAAAAATAATGGATTGATTTTTTTGTTGAAAATCTCATTTTTAAAATGGCAAGCAAATGTAAGTAAATACATTTAGTATGAGTATAAAATACTAAAGTAATTTTAAATTATTACTTTCACGCAGCAAAGAAATAGAATAAAAACACCACTACAAAAATATTGTGCCAAAGTTTAATTGGATTAAAATATTACTTAAATTGAATATCAAATTAAAAACATACCAACGTTTAAAAGAATTAAAATATTACTTAAATTCAAGTTCTTTAAAATATGTTTTATAGGATATAATTATTTAACATTAAAACATATGTGGCAATAAATATCTCAGCAATTTTTGAAAACAGTGTATTAATTTTTTAATAAATATTGAAGTATAGAATTATAAAGTAAAAGAAAAATATGTACTTACATTTTTTTTGAGTAATTAACCTGTCATTTATTGAAAAGTACCACAAAAAAATCAGAATCATAATTTAAATATCAATGAAAAATGTAATCTAAGGAATTCAAAGGGATGAATAATAAAATTTTAAATGGTGCGGTAATGCACAAATATTCAGTAACCAATCAGGGAGCTGATTACAGTTTGTTAATGCACGAATATTCTGTACCCAGTCAAGGAGCTGATTACATCATGAATAGTATTAAAATTATTTAAGTACATAATAAATCATTTAAAAAATGGAAAATTAAATTGTATTTTAATATTTAACAGCCATAAGTAATGTTTAAAACATTAGATTAAATTTATAGATATTATAACCAGTTACTTTTAAAGTAATGTGACGTCATTCATTACATCATCCACTACGTAAAAATTCCATAAAATATCATAAACAATAACATTTTTCTTTAAATAAAAATGCAAAATAAAATTTAATTTTAATATTTAGAACTTTACATATATCATACTTAAAACACGGAATTTATGCATAATAAAACTCATTATTTTTTAAATAAAATAACAACAAAGTATCGGTTACCATAAATAACATGTCTAGCAATGGATTTACCGTAAGTTGTATCGCTCGCCAAAATCCGTGCAATCGTCTACCAAAGTACCACTGAAAACAATATAGATCAATATAAGTATTCTTAATGAAAGTAAAGAAATTGAAAATACAAAATGCATTCAAGGTCTGTCATGATAGCAATCCTAAACATGCAGCTGTAAATGTTTATTTGTGGTCTTGAAGGTATTCAAACTGCTCCATGTTACTTGGGTTTAAATGCTACTGAATGTGTGGGATAAATTGGGCAAAAGATTAAGCAAACATGATATTTCTTAACAAACTCTACTAAAAGCAGTTATTACAGAGAAATGGAATATTCTAACATGACATGAAAAACCAGTTGAATTCATGCCAAAGTGCATGAAAAAATGTCATTTTGCATAAAGGTTATCCAACGAAATAATAATATTTCACCATCTTTATGTTTTTATTAAACGTAACCTTGGTTTAAAGTGTCTGTATACTTATGGAAGTTCATTTTGCATACTTTTTAATAGATTATTTTTTTACTAAAAGCTTTTTTTCAGAACAGCAGGTTTTTAAATCAGTAATATAGATGTAATTTTTATCACTAATATAGATGAAAGGAAAATGAAGTCATTGTCCTAATATTTAGTAAAAAATATTTTCAAATAAAATTTTTAAAAATGTCTGAACCACTGTAAGTTGTATTTTCTGTGTATGAATGTGAGCATTTTTTCTTCACAGGCTGTTTAATCAAACTTATCTCAGAACTGTTATGTTGCATTTCTTAAAATGATTATAAGGTATTTTTTCCACCTTCGTGGTATAGTGGTCAGCACGCTCGATGTGTATTCGAGAGGTCCATAGTTCGCGTCCTGGCAAAGGCAATTCTCATTTTTCAGCTCTCCTCCTTCGAAATAACCTAATGTCTCCACATGGTTATGTAGCAGTTTATAATGTTTGAGGTTCTGTTTCTATATTTTTGAAATATTAAACCTGTTCATTTTTGATGGAGGGAAGTCTAGGCAATGCATCTAAAGTTTTCTCAATTTTTATTTAATAATGTAATAAATGCTTTTCAGTGATTTTTTTATTGTCTTATTTAAAAACTATATGCCTATATTTCATAAAATTTCAGATGAACCCAGAAAAACTGAGTAAGCTACAAGCTCAAGTTCGGATTGGGGGAAAGGTATTGCAACATATTTCCTTTCTAAGTATACATTCAACTTACACATTTTATTGTATTATTAATGTTTTAAAATAATAGGGAACTGCACGGAGGAAGAAGAAGGTCGTTCACCGAACAGCTACAACAGATGATAAGAAATTACAGAGTTCGTTGAAAAAATTAGCAGTCAATAATATTCCTGGTATTGAAGAAGTGAGTACTTTTTAACAACTTTTTAAGGTGTAATAAGTAGCATATTCGCAAACTAAGTACCGTTTCATTCTAGTGCTGTGGTAGGCATCCCGTGCATGCTCACTAGTCTTTCTTGCTCTATGTTGTGTTTTCAGTTTGCTGTGCACATTCAAAATGTTTAAGACAATTAGTTCTCTCGCTGACTGTGAGATTCGTGCCATGATTAAATTTTTGAATGCAAGGAATGTTAAACCGGCTGAAATTTATCGGCAAGTGACAGAAGTTTACGGTGAATATGCGATAAGTGATGGAATGGTGAGAAAGTGGGTAAGAATGTTTAATGCAGGTCAAACAAATGTCCACGCCGAGGCTCAGAGTGATCGGCCTTCTGTTGTCACCGATGATTTGGTAAGGAAAGTTGATGAAGCAATTCATGAGAACAGACGCTTCACAATGACAACTTCTTTCAGAGGCATTTCCACAAATTTCACATACTGTTTTGTTCGAAATTGTGTCTGACTGCTTGAATTATCGCAAACTGTGTTCTCGGTGGGTTCCAAAAATGTTCACTTATGTTCGCAAAACAAAGCAACTTGGTAGTGCCCTGACATTTCTCACGCGGTACAGTGATGAGGGAGAAAACTTTTTAAACCAAATTGTGACAGGTGATGAAACTTAGGTGTGTCATTTCACACCAGAATCGAAACAACAATCGATGGAGTGGAGACACACTCATTCTCCGAAAAAACAAAAGTTCAAAGTGACAATGTCATAAAAAAATCATGTGCACTGTCTTCTGGGAAAGGCGTTTTGCTTACTGAATTTCTTCCCAGAGGTGAAACCATTAATGTGGCACGATATTGTGAGATTTTAACAAAACTAAGGCGTGCCATTCAAAACAAACGAAGAGAAATGCTCAGTAAAGGAATTGTGTTGCTCCATGACAATGCTCGCCCCCATACTGCTGGTGTCACTCAATCGTTAATTTGACAGTTTCATTGGGAGTAGTTCGATCACCGGTCGTACAGCCCGGACTTGGCACCGTCCAACTATCACTTGTTCCTACACATGAAGCGCGAGCTTGGTGGCAATCGCTTTGGATCTGACGATGACATGAAAAATGCTGTGGAGTCGTGGTTATCGAAACTGGCGGGAAGTTACTTTGATGATGGTATACAAAAACTGGTCACCCGCTATGACAAGTGTTTGATCATTGGCGGAAATTATGTTGAAAAATAGTTTAAGACATGTATTTTCATGTAAAAATAAAATTGGATTCGAAAAAATTGTTTTTTTTTTTTTTTTTTTTTTTTTTTTTCAAAACGGTACTTAGTTTCCAAATACGCCTCGTATTTATCTGAATTATATTTTTAATCTTAAATTTTCCTTCTTGATACGTTTAAATTTTACTTTTCTTTTTTGGTGTGTATAACGTTATTTAATAATTGTTAGTTAAAAAATAATGAGCTTTTAAAATTATACTGCTATCACTTTCATTTTCAAAATAAAAGTATCCCAACAATCATTATTATTAAGTCAAAATCCTGAACAGGTTTATGATTTTGCGGTTTTTCCCATTGCAAACAAATCTTAAAGTATGTATTTTAAGACAGTATCACACTATGTCTATAACCCTTCAAATTTAAAATACCAAAAAATGCAAAAATTATAGTGTTTGTTGTTAAAACGCAAGCCTTGTCATATGCATAGTTGCTTGAAGAATTATTATACATGTGATTTCCATAGTGCATTCTGAAACATTGGCAGTTTCTATTAATGCGGCTTTGAAGTGTAAATTTTTCATGATTTAATAATACATATGTATAATTATGATACCATTTACATGTCGAACAAGTACTAATTTAGAAGTCAAACAACAAAAATCAGCGTCAAATTCTCACAGGACTGGTTTTGATGGTTTTACCAAACCATTATTGATGGTTTGATAATGAATGGCTCAAAAAATTTTTCTGTTATAGTTAACAGCCCTAATTCCAATTCATTTTTGCCTTCAGCCTTTAAAGAAATTATGTTTTAGCTCTGGTTTCATCAACAGATGGCGTCAGTAGCTTGACGCGTGTCTGTTCTTTCTTATCTTTTCTCATCATATCTTGTTCGTTTGCGCTTTTGCAGCTGAGGATGATGGTTTGGTAAAGCCATCAAAACTAGTCCTGCGAAAATTTGAAAATATAACCCGGATTTTTGTTGTTTGACTTCTAAGTTAGTACATATGTATAATTTTGCAACATGCACCATACCATAGAAGTACTTATACAGCTTTTATTTTTGAAGCTATTGGTTGTAGACATGTATTTCCAATCACAAAAATGCATTAAAGAAAAAAAAATATGTTAAACTTTAATCAGAAAGACAGTTTTTGCCATTAGACAATCAGAAGCACTTGTCTTGTTAGCAAAGGAAATGTATAACTTTAGACTCCAATCATTGTGTAAATCATGTAAACTTTTGATAACATTTGCACATGAAAAATTGGGTAGCTTAGTTTGCTTATTTTAATAACTATGTGTAATGATCATTTTAACAAGAAAAAGCCATAAATATGCTGTGGCAATTTTGCTTCCTCTACCCATATGGTCAAAGACCTCTTGTACAGATAGGTTGGATTCAATTCCTTGAGAAGGTGTGGGTGTTTGTAAACGTATAGTGTCTGTTTGGCATGTGGGCATTCAAAATGTATGCAAGTTATAAGTCTTCTCAAATGGTTTAGTAGGGTTTGAGAGAGGCTTTTCTTCAAAATTTGGGGTGGTACTGGGCTGTCATGCTGTCACCTATATGGTGCTCAAGGCTCATGCTAGTGACAGATGCAGTCTTGCACTTCTTGCCATGATAAAATTTGTGGGGCCTTGTTCTGATTAGGCCAGATAAGTGACTTTAGCTGCAATATATTTTGTTTTCATATTACGTGTACTGTGTATTGAAGATGCCTGAGAATATCAGATACTTTTATGCCAACTCTGATGATTTAATATTAGCTTTAGGTATATGGGATGTCTTAGACATCATACTTATGTTAGTTTATAATCTACATACTATTGGGCTTTCTGAGCGAATATTGTAAAATGCTATTGCTAGGGACAAGATACAGTAATCAGTAATTCTTTAACGCAAAAAATATATGTTCATTGTAAAGTGAATTTTATCAAACATTACAATATTATTAAGAAGAAAGTATTTTTTCAAAAGTAATGTCTCTTTTTTAGATTAATACGTAATTATATAATTTCTGAATTCATTTATGGGTTAGAGTAGATTGAAGGGTGCCGCCTGTATTATCACAAAGTTGTTTCGTTTGTTGCCATGTTGTTACGTCATTTATTGCAGGTCGTTTCATTTAATATCATGGCTGAATGTGGTAAGAGTAATTTGAAGTTTCTGTACGATTTGGAAAGAAAGTGAAAAGAGCATTAATTGACCTGTATGTAAATAAAAGTTTACTTAGTAGCCATTATGAGTGTCCTGTTTGTAGGAAGGAAATACATGTGGTTGAACGTTGGAAGATATTTTTGACTCTTATTTTTGTGAATTTATGTGGTGGCACCGATATACGAATTCTAGTTCAGATAATTTTAGGAAGTTTTTAAATGCTGTTAAGAAATTTTGTGTGCCATAGACTAAAGACTTACAAACTTCTAAATAAGGTATATGGATATTTGCTTTGTGTAGTGCTTAGATGCATAAGATGAATTTCCTTTTTTATGTTATTTTATTGTTTGATTTAAAATGTAGTTTATTGAGATTATGTATATTTTGTTTCACTCTACTGTAGAATTGTTCCTTTGACTTTTTAAGTGAAAACAGGTCGATGTGAACATGGACAAAAGTCAAGGGAGTGTGCAATTCTCTGACGTTTTTTTTTTAAGTGAAAATAGGTCAATATGTACATGGATTTCACCAAGGGGCACCCATATATATTTTTACCCATTTATGTATAATTTTTTAAAAAGTTGCACATTTTTTTATTTTAGGTAAATATGATAAAAGATGATGGTACAGTAATTCACTTTAATAATCCTAAAGTGCAAGCATCATTGGCTGCTAATACTTTTGCTATCACTGGCCATGCTGAACCCAAACGTAAGTAAAATTCTCATCAGTATTGCAATATTTCTGATTAAAAATGTATATTAATTTTTGGTACCATTCTGTTATCGTTAACGGGATTCAGAAATGTGTGTGTATACTCGTATGTCATGATATTATATGCATACACATACATACAATGAATTCGGTCGCAATAACAGAAGCGTACCTGTTATTTTATATATCTGAATTGTGAGATAAATTTCATGTCAGGATGCATACATGTAAAATGTTCACAATAAATTTATTACGTAGCTTAAACATTTAAGTAATTCATTACTATCATAAATTTTAATATTCATGCTGCAATAAAATTAATACTGTATTTGTAATCACCAATTTAATTTGGATATTACAAATACAGTTTTGATTAAAATAATAAGTATTTGTAATCACCAAAGTGTTTCTTCCCACTTTTACAGCTGTTGATACAAGGAAATATACAGGTTTCCACAATTTTGGCCTCGTAGTGTCTATTTGTGTTGATGTGACAGGGTTCGTAGCGGGCTTTACAAGTGCTTATAAGTCCTTATATTTGAAAATAAAATGTACATGCTTACTTTTTTTCTAAAGCACTTATTTTTTTTCTTTTTAGTGCTTTAAAAAAAAGGCATGTCTTCCTCCATACCAAAGTTGAAACTAAACTTTTCTTCCTTATCTGGAATGTCAGGTGGTGAATCACATTCCTGAAAATAGCTTTTTGCCCCTTTCTCTGCATTAACGTAATCTTTGGTGCACGCAAGTACAGACAGGTGCACATCGTTCTATTGGTCAGAGAATTGCGAAAGCGGTAGAAAATTCTGGTACATTCCAAATTCTTTTCCTCCCACCCAAGACTACATGCATTTGAATTTCTAATTAAAGCCTAATCTAATGCCAATGTGCACTGAGTGAAGTGAAATTACTTTAAAGTATTTTATATTAGCTGCTTTAGCTAAATTGAATAAACAGTATCATTTCAAGAGTTGTAAATAACTACAGTTTTGTATACCATATGCAAAAATTTGACTGTCACAGCAGTGCTTATATGTAAACTGCTTTATAATTTTATTTCAGTATGTAAATACAAAATTTGGTTAAATAATAAAACATTTAAAAAATTAAGCAGTAGAATTAATTTCATTAGTATAATAAAATTATTGGAAGTAAAGAAATGTACAAGATTCCAAATTTTTCCACTTAAAACACATTATTTAAAAGAAAAGTTAAAAATGAGTACAGTCGAAAGTCGTTAATCCGGAATGATCTATAATCCAGACCTCAAAGCTACAAACTTTCTGCGCATGCGGCAATGCATAATGCGTTTACACATGCGCATTTAATGTATAATGGACGGTATAAGCTAAGCTAAAATTATCTACTTATTTATTTCAGTTGCAGGTTGCGTTGTTCCTTAACCTTTGAATTGGATCCGGCTTATTATTTTTTGCAGACCGTTAGAGCAATTTTATAAAGTAAGCTTGAGCTTTCGATTATGTGAAATAGAATTTCCGATGTTGGAGCTGCCAGAGGATCTACAAAGCGGAAGCATGTTTCGATGTCCATCAAACAAAAAGTTGAATTTTCGCAAAAAAAAAAAATGGATAAAGGCATACTCTAACCATTCCGAAATCTGTTTATCAATTTCACGCTGCTCTGCGGGGGGGGGAGAGGAACGTGGCGGCGCATAATGAACTGAAGTTGATCTGTCAGCACTATCCTTATCTTCAGGGCAGATGTTTTTATTTTATTTGGCTTATAATTAATTCATTACTGAATGTAGTATTTCATCTCGATATACTCTGTCTTTGATATGATTTAAATCAAATTCATTATAAATATCACGAATACACATCAAATATTTTTTTGGTTGCAATTTTCTAATTTCGACTATGCGTAATATATGTTTTATGCATGCGCACATTGAAAGAAGTGTTTAATAAAGTAAACAAATAAGTATTAAGCCTTTTTTTTTTTTTTTTTTTTTTGTAGTAAATGTTGATACCCTTTAGATCATAATTGTTCTTTATTTCATAAATTGTGGTTTCATATTTTTAATTTTATAATTTCTGCATGCCATCTTACCAGATTTAAAGTGATTTATAAAATCTGGGAAAATTGATAATCCGGAATCACCGAAGTCCCAACGAGTCCAGATTAAAGACTTTTGACTCTGTATGTGTATATATATATATATATATATAGGTACTTCAATGACATTTTTAGTGTGGTGATATTTTTTTGCGGAAGAAAAACAATGACTTTTAAATGAAAAAAATTATATGTTAACATATTTTTGTATATAACGTGTTCTAATTTACCTCAAAATTGATCACTAAATTTACTTATGAGTGGGTGTTCATTTTAACAACAGATTCAAAGCAATTGTTCCCTTCAGTGATTTTGCTGCCAAAAAAAATTGTATTCATACAAAGTATACCTCAATTTCTTCTGTTGCCGGGCAAATCCCATGAACACATTTTAAAATCAAGACAAAATGTACATTTATACATACACATATATATATATATATTCTAATACGAGAAAAGGTATTTCCTTATTATTATTATGGCCTCTGTTCTGCAAATAGCTCCAAGATTATCAATAAATCAGTAACTTCAAACGCAGTAAGTTATAGTTTGCATGTGATGGATGATAAGAGCTCTTGGTAAAGAATATTTCTCTCATATTCTTTTTTTCTATTAAATGCTGTCAGTCAATTTTCTTGTTACTAAAAGAGCTCTGAATATTCTACATGTGAGTATGATACTGTATCTTAAGACATGTATTTTACACCGGACAACACCCCCAACAAAACTATTCCTGTTTTATTTAGACAATTTGCAGCCATATAAAATGGGAACTGGGAATCATAAATTTCATTTTTTGATCCAGCAACAGCTGCTCGTACGCAGAATGTTCAAAAATTGTGCCCGTTCACTAGGTGGTGAAATAATAATCTGTGCGGCACAGTTCTTCATGTGGCCAAAGATCTTGAAATGAAAGTGCGTGCTTTTTCTCCAACGTGCCACATATATGTAAAATAGTTATAATGTGTAAAAAGTTGTTATGGAACAAAAATTTAGACTAAATGTTTAAAGCACAGTTTGCCAAGCCAAAGCTATAGCTTTGTAGGAATCCTTTTTATGGCATGACTGTCTTAAGTAAGTCGCAGTATGCAAGCATTTATACAGACAACCAAAGCGTTTAAAGGCATTATGTTCTATAAAGGAAGCATCTATATTCAAGAAACAATAAATATGGAAATGAATATTCATTCATTTGCAAATTCAAGGTACAAATCTTTTTGAAAGAAAGACACAGGGTCTTCATGTTTTGGTAAATCAAGCATTTTTACCTTTTTCCCCCAATACATTGAAACATCTCCCCTTTTTTTTTCCATGATGTGTTCTCAAAGTTTTTCTCATGATGAAAAAATTATGAATTATTGTGAAATGCTAACATTTCTATGTTATAAGAAAATTAGTTTACTCAGAGCTCTTGTCGTGAGAAAACTAAATAATCATGGTTTGGATTGCCAGCCATTAGATGATGGTTGGTTTAGCAGTTGGTCAATTATTTTGGTTCCATATACAATGCAAAAGCCATTATAATAAGGAAGTGTGGAACAGAAATAGTGTTTCTACAAGTACAGTTTGAGTCAGCTGTTTTTCAACCTTTTGACTAACATGTACCACCTAGACAAAAATTAAAAACCTTTAGTACCGCCACTCCTCTTGAACAAAGCTCAGATCGCATAAATTTATGAGTGTTAGAGAAAAAACTCAATCAGGCTGTTGGGATTTTAATTTTTGAATTTAATAGTTAAAAATACTTTGCTTCTCTACGTATCGCTGGTTGAGAGCCCCTGGTTAAAGTGATTATTTTTAAGTTCTGTGAGTATGGAGAACCGACAGATTTATACCTTATTTATATAATCAGCTTATAGGAATCATGTTTTAGGAGGCTAAAATAAAAGCATGTTTTTTTTTACAGCAGCCGTAAGGTATATGAGAGTAATCATAAGCTAAGAATATTTTTCTCTTTAATATTAGTTCTTTTTAACTTACTAAGTTTAAATTAACTGGATTGTAATTTCTTTACAGAGATCACAGAAATGCTTCCTGGCATCTTGAATCAGTTGGGATCTGAAAGCCTTACACACTTAAAACGACTTGCCACTATCCAAAGTGCGGCAGGTATTTGTTTCTTGCATTTTACTGAGTTACTTTGCTGAGCTGTACATTGTTTAGTTTCATTTGTAGTTTGTAATAGTGTTAATTTTTTTACTTTTGTTTAATTTTCATTGAAAAATTTTCTTATGTGTGTGCTGTAGTTTTCAAAATATTCTGGAATTACATTATTGTTAAAAAAATGTGGGTTATTTACTGGACCATGTAAACAGTTGTAAAGTTTTTTAGACTTACTGACATATGGAAAAAAAGAATAAGTGCTATTAAAAAAATAGGCGGAAAAAAAGACCTGTAAAAGTATATATGTTTAAAAATGTCTGTGATTTATAACTGTAAAGTATTTGAATATTTTAATAATGATTGTTTTTAATAAAATATACAGTGAAACTGCAAAAAGCTTTTACTGGAATTTTTTTAATAGACGTGTTGAGTGTGGTTTCATGACAAAAGCTTGCATTAACATGAGAGTGCCCATTGAGTGAAGCAATCTTGAATAAGCACTTGCTTAAAAAAATTTCTTCACTATTTAAATTATGTACTTTTAATAAAACATTATGTCAGTTAAGGTAAGTAATATTCTTCTTCTTGTAAATGTACAAGGTTTTAAGTGCTGTAATCAAACTTAGTTGGTAAGCAATATGATTTTGTTTTAGTTCTGTGCAACGTCATCTAAGGGGAAATTAACAGTTGCAGCAAAGTTCATGATCTCATTTTTTACTTCTGTGTAGCCCCATGGCCTTTGCATCTATGTTACAATTTAAAAAAAAAAAAAAAAGGTGCACTGAGGAACTTGAAATGCTTAAACTCTTAGCACATTACACATTTTCATGCCACTGCCTTCCAGCATACTTTTGCAGCAGAGTGTCTTGAGAAGAAGTCTTATTTTGTGTAGAAAATATTACACATGTTTTTGGATTTATTTATTTAATAAATATGCATATGCCTCTTGCAAATGAAAAACAGATTTAAAATTTTATAATTCGCCATCGTATATCTTCGAAAATAATCCCCGAGGGGCATTTTGGGTTTACTTAGTCAGATGTCACAGTAGTGACTAGTATGATATCTGCCATCCTTCTTGCCTTTTTGAACACACAATTTCCACTATGCCTAAGTATATGCATTTTTTCGTAAGCTTTTAATAATTCTTATTCTTTGTCTCTTCAACGATATAATTTTGCTACCACTAGTTTAAGTGTAAGAATCATAATCAACAATGTCTTCTGAATTATCTTTTAATAGTTAAAAATCAAGTATGTCGTCACTATCACTCAGCTGTAAATTTTTATTATGACATTCATTTATATTCATATTTTTAACCATAAAACAGTCATAAAATAATTTAACTTCAATATTAGAGACATTTTAACTACAGATAACAATTTTCAATTCCAGCAATCACCTAGCATCTTAAGTTCTATCATGCTTAAAACATTTGGCTCCACTCTGGAGTTATTGAACAAATGAGTAACTCTCCATACCATAGCCATCGCTAAGGTTAATATTTCAAATATATACTGCTAGAATACATTTTGCAGTGGTTATTAAAAAATGCCGCCCTTCCCCCTTTTATTTTCCTTTTTTGTAAAAATAGAAAAAAGGGAAGTTTAGACTTTGTGGAATGAAATATGCTCACTAGGATTTCAAATTGGCCAAATTCGCCAAAGATTAGTCAGGTTCGTATACATTTAAAGTTATGCATGTATTTTTCTGTGGGGGTAATGTAAACATTCCTGTGTTACTTAGAAATTATGATTATAAAATTCATGATATATAAGGCACGGGATGAATGCAGATCGTCAGAAACTTTTCCCTCTTTAGTTTAAAGTAAAATATCATTGCTACTGTTCATAGTTGATTATTTCAGTTGTTTTACTGTTTATAGTTCTGGAAACAGTAGTATGATAAACCTACATACATCGTACATGCAATGCAATAAATACTGTTGCTATCCCCCCATTCTAAATTGGAATAAGCACATAGACTCCAACTACTACGGATTCTCCGTAGTTTCTACGGAAATTCATGAAAAACTACGAGCTACGAAAAGTATGGAAAAAACTACGGATTTTACAGAAACAAGAGCAGGAGAACCAGTACGCAAAACGGAACCAACTAATTCATCCGATGATTGGCTGAATACTCGTGTTATCATATATCACGTGTTGAGTGCGTTCCTAGTTTTGAAGAATTAGCCAATCGTAGATCAGTAACTCCAACCGTTAACGACTTATCAATAGTTTTCCACCCGATTGTCTGTCTCCCAGGTTCCTCGCTGATGCGTGTTTAGGCTGCATGTTGTAGTTTACGGCGAGAGCTTAGCGTGTGTCTTGTGAACTGTGAATCAGGTGAAAGATTTTTAATCATAATGCTGCCTCGAACGAAGAAGCCAAAATTATCAAAGCAGAAGTTTAAAGATTCATATTCTTCAGAATTTCCATGCATTAAAGCGTCCGAAATTTCTGTGAATCACGCACACTGCAGTGTATGCAACAAAGACTTCTCAGTTGCTCATGGCGGAAAAGATGACTGTAAACGGCATGTGTTTTCTCAAAAGCATATAGAACTTGGCACTGTAAAATCTAAAGAAATAACAAATTTCTTAATAAAAGATGATGAAACAGATCCTATAAAAGCCGAATGCTATTTTGTTCGTTTTTTAATTGAACATAATCTACCGCTTTCAGTTTGGGATCATTCCAAAGAGCTTTTCAAAGCAATGTTTCCGGATTCTGCCATAGCAAAAAAATTTAGCTGCGGTCATACCAAAACTGCTGCTATTGTGAAAACGCTTGCAGAAAATACTGTTGCTGATATTATAAAATCAGTGTGCAGTACATCATTTTCTCTAAGTACTGATGGAAGTAATGATAACAATGATAACAAAATGTACCCATTGGTTATAACATACTACAGTAAAGAAAAGGGAGTGATAATTACTTCATTGATTTCTATTTTAGAATGCATGAATAATACAGGAGAAGGTATTTTTAATTGTATAAATGAAAACTTTAAAAAACAAAGGTTTAGAATGGAAAAATTGCTTATCATTTTCTTCAGATAATGCTAGTAATATGATTGGAAAGTTTAAAGGTGTAGCATCATTTATCAAAATGCATCAACCAAGTATAATCACCCGAGGTTGTCCGTGCCACCTCTTGCATATAGCTGCAAAAAAAGCTACTGAAAAATTAATTGGCTCAGAAATTGAAATGTTGATAATAGATATATATTTTTACTTGGAGAAAAGTTCGAAACGGAAGCATAGCTTCAAAGTTGCTCAACAAATTTTGGGACAGAATGCAAAATCTCATAAAATTTTGAAATATTGCAGTACGAGATGGTTGTCTCTTTTAGAATCTATAACAAGGATTTTGGAACAGTGGGATGCTGTGATAAATTTTTTTGGAGATAAACCAGATAACAGTGAGAATGAAGGAAAGAGATTGCAAAACATTAAAAAAAAATTTTACAGTCACCAACCACCAAATTGTACTTGTTATTTTTGAAAAATACTTTGCCTTTGTTTATAACAGTAAATATTAATTTGCAACAACAAGCTCCTTATATACATAAATTGAGAAGAGAACTTTTTGAACTTTTAATGAATTTATTTGTTAGATTCGTAAAACCATCAGTAATTTCTAAAGAAAATGAAGATGTTACTCTAACGTCTATTCCATTTCAGAAGTATAGTAAACAAAAAGAAAATGAAAATTTAGTGATTGGTGCGGAAACAAGACTATATTTAAAAAATGCCAAGTTGAATGAAAGTGAAGTGAAATCATTTTTCAATTCTGTGCGAGGTTTTTTGTAACTGCATGTTCATATATAATGATAAATTTCCACTGAGTGATCCATTTCTAAAAACATGCTGAAGTTGCTGACATCAACTTGAGAACTGAAGTCTCATTTTCATCTGTTCTTTACTTGATGAATACTTTTCCATCCATTATTGATGAAAAATGTCTTAATCAAGTAGAAATTGAATTTTCCATGTATCAAGTAGATGATTTGAAAGAAATTGTAGATTTGCGTATTGATATAGCATGGGAAGAAATTGCCAAATTAAAAAATATGAATGGGTGTATTAAATACAAAGTATTGCCTTCTGTAATGCTTGCTGTCTTAATACCTCATTCAAATGCTGCTTGCGAAAGAATTTTTTCTATTGTTAAAAAAAATCAGACAGAATTTCGACCAAATTTAGGTCTTAAAACTCTTGAAGCAGTTTTGATTGAAAAAATAAATATGCAGGCAAATGAAGAACTGTGTTATAAAAAAACATTCTCAAAATCAGAACTTAAGCTTGCTAAGCATGCTACGTATAAATCTTTGCATTCATAAATTATGCGTATTTTGTTTAATACTTATATGTATCATTCTTGGTTATTTAAATTTTATTTCCCTGTAGAAATCATATCCAGAATAAAGATATGATTTATAGCTTCTGATTTTTTCTATGATTAGTAGTGATTTGAAGTACTTTTTATTAGTGAATGCTTGAGGAGTTAAAAGAAAATTTCTAATTAAATGTGCATATAATTTACAAGGTATATTTTTAATTATTCAGTTTTATATGTATATGGATTTTAAATGTAATAAAATTGATTACAATTAATTATTAATTTAAAATTAATGAATGGTTAATTACAACATACGCTACGCACACATTTTCAAAGTTGTAAAAATGTCGTTCGCGCGTTGACTACTGACAAGGTTTGCTGAAGGTTGGAGTCTATGTAAGCAATGAAAATAAATATTTGGTTAAATTGGGTGACAGTTCTGTTTCTCAGTTATTAATGGAAATGTGAAAGCAATGTAAATGGAATCAGTATTATGTACTCATAAAATATGGTATTTTAATTAGATTGCTTAAAATTTAACCCTTTTTTTATCGTGCTCTGTTTGTCATTGGAAGTGTATTGTTGGCTGCATCCGTAGTACATTAAAGTACACACATTGGGTTTAGTTTGTCCACACATTGACTGACTGTATGAACATGCATACAGAATCATAGCTTAAAGAGAGCAATGTTCAGAACTCGGGACTTGATAACAAGCATGGCCAAACTGTTGCTCTCCAACATCTTAACTATGCTCACGAGCTACTCATGGCCCTTTCCCTGTGAAATGTGATTTGTTTTAAACAAATAGTTTAATTTTTGAAATAACAAATGGAATTCATAATAGAAATCATCCAGTGACATGTTTCTTTATTAATCGCTAATTTCATTTCTTATGATATGTATGCAATACTTTAATCAAATTCATAAAGTCCGTAATCCTGACATCCACTATCCGGAGCTTAACCCTCTGACTGCCCGAGACAAGACAGTGGTGTGGGGATTTTTGGACAATCACATATGTGCATTGTGCATGTTGACTATGCTTTCTCTCATAAAGCAGGCTTTATCTGAGAATAAAACAGTGGCGGAAAACTGTGAACATTCTGTGTAGCATTCACTGTATGAGCTGTACCTGAAAGTAGTCATCGGCATCACTTAGGAGTTGGACCTTCTGCATGCGGAAGTGATGCATGTTTCCTGCACACAGAACCTTCCACACCATGTAATGACAAATACCCAGTGCTGCTGCAACAAATTGTGTGCTAGTCTATGGGTAAATGGCAAATTGTTGCAATACTCAGTTTTCTGTTTCAGATGTAAGCACAGTGCGTTCTTGTCCTGCGCTTTTGAAGGATCCCATCTCATGCAGTCTTCGATAGGTGTTCCTGAGGGTTTATGGGGTAGGCAACACCTTCTCAAATATTGCTCCTGGTATCATTTGTGCTAAGCGTCCATTGCCACCTGTTTGGCCGTGAATCAGATGCTGCATATTCCTTGTTCATGTAATCTGGCATGTTGTGTCCGAATGAAGCTTAACACAAAAATTCTGCAGTGCCCACTATTGAATACTTGCTGGCTACTTTTATTTGCCCCATATGTGTAGGAAATTTGCATATGAGATGGTTTCTTCTCCTTGACTGTTGCTTTTATTTTTCCCATGTGCATTGGAAATTAGCATGAGAACAGTTTTCATTTCTAACGCAGTCCTCCCGATACTCGCATTTGTTTGGCCATTCTCTTCATCAGGCTTTACAGTCCTCTCAATATCTGTTTTTTCATTTTCTCTGTATCTGATAATGCAGTATTGTTGTACAGTTTTCTCCCCAGTCAGTTTTGTGTTACCTATCTTATAACACATATTTCTGGATGTTGGAATTTTGAATTCTCACAAAGGAATATAGTACTGCGTTTTGTGATGAAATTATAAGGAAACCAGCTTTGAAAATGAAATGCGGGGGAAAATGTATGTAAAGTTATGAAATGGAGAAAATGTTATAATTTTTATTAGTCCAAAGGGATTTGAGTCCCGAAGGACTATTAGTTTCGTTTTGGCATTTTGCGTCGGACTCCTATAAATGTCGGTTCACTTTTCAGACTGTTGCCACAAAATGTTAGAGTCCTGCATGATATTTGAAGAAATTAAATAATGAAAAATATGCATAAATGTATGTATATTTATCGCATTGTGATAAAATAACGGTACATAGAGCCATCACATTTTGAATGACTTAATCCTCCAATGAATATGGGAATGTGGAACACCACATTTGAAATTTGAAATTTGTTTTATAATCAATTTCCTATTCTTTAAAACTTTAATGAATTTTTGATTAACAAACTCAAGGATTTCAAAGCGAGCAATGGTAACGTTATGCAGAAAAAACATTTTTATCTCCTGCACGTGAGTTTTTGTATCGGAAATTCTAAAGATATGCTCATTTTAAAACTATTTTGCGATATTCCTGTTGAATTGAATTTTATGGTTTAAGTACGAAGAACATGATGTTTAACAAATAAAGATAACGCACAAAACGTTAAAAAAAACGTAATTTAATTTGGACGTAATTTAAAATCTGAAACATTTCTGTTGAAGGAAAGCAGCATTTATAAAATAGTAGAAGACTTCTATAGTAAATTTATTTCACTTTAAGTAATTCTATAAGTAGCAAGTAAAGGAAAACATAAATAAAATCTATGTGAAAATAGTGGTGTATGATGGAGAAAGGAGACGAAACTTCCTCTCTGTTTAAAGACATACGCAGCATTTTCCCCCCTTATCTGGAAAATCATCTTTTTTTTTTTTTTTTTAATGTTTTAAAAGCGGGCAGAGTTTATTGAAATCTATGAAAATTTAAAAATAATGGTCTTGAAATAGTCACAGACATCATGAAGGAACTAAGTAAAAGCCTAATATAACATTAAAGTAAGAGAATTTTTCTGTGTCAAGTTTTAAAATGTGCTTACCCTTCATTTTAGTTATTTTTGAATATTTTGATTATGAAATTTAATACAAGATGAGCATTATTCAAGCACAGTTTCTGAATTATTTTGAGCCAAAGAAATCTGTTGTAATTAATTTTAAATTATTTTTTGCAGTTATTGTAATTTGTCTAATTTTTTGTAAGTAAATTTGTATTTCCCCATAACTCTTCCCCTCATGTAATTACCCCTGTAAGGTTTATCTATGCATGTTTGTGTTTTAACTTTTAACAAAGTTTACATGCTGCTTAGAGATTGGGCTTTGGATTATGTCACGTGTTGTCAAGCTATAAGTTGAAAGTTCTCATCAGAAGAACATAAGAATTTATTTATTCGATTTGAAATTTGCCCATCATCTCTTCATTGTAATTTGGCAGTTAACTATGAATTACACTTTGCTGAAGTATTAAAATAAAAGAACTGTATTCTATGCTGTTCATTCTTTCTTAGTTTAACTGCAAGTATTGAATTTCATGAAGGCCCCCATCATATATAACAAGTATAATGCAGCCCCCCCATATATGTATAATTTTCCTCATTTGGTATCATAGTAATAGTATCCTAGAATTGTATTTTTTTTTTTTTTTTTTTTTTTTTTTTTAGATTGATCTTGCAGTTAGAAGGAATAATTATATATATATATATTTTTAAAGATATAATATTTGCGTTCATTTTTATCTGTACAGGACCTGTCTCTGAACAAACAAACAGTGGTGTTGATGAAGAAGAGGAGGAGGAGGAGGTTCCAGGTACGTTTAAATAATTGTGAAATAAAATGTGTTCAGTGTTATTTCAGTTAACTGTTAAAAATGTTAATGTATTTTGCTTAGAATATACCGTATTTCAAATAGTATATTGGAGCTGCTAACTGTCCCAATTTCTCACTGCATCCCGCCAACCCAATTTACAACATATTTCTCACTACTTTCTCTTATTCTTTTAATTTATCATTATTATTATTATTATGTAGTTTTGCTTAATACTTCATTATTTGCATCCCAAAAAATGATTTTTCCTGTAAAATCCATATGAAAGAACGAAAATTCGTTTCATTAATGACACGTTATGGCACGGTTTCCTCTTTGTGTGTGAGAGCGCACGTGTGTCCATAAACTTGATGTTCCAGTTTTCCAGTGAGCATAAAGTTCCACTCTAGATCATCTGACATGTATTAGCCAATAAGATCATGATTGTTATTTCAAGTCTGATCAATGTGCATTTTATGTGTTTTGAGGTATAGTTTAATGGATTACTGTCTTAGTTATGTTTTTGAAAAAGGAGAAATGCTCATGTAGATTTCAAAAATCGTACACAGATGACTTTTCTATTACTTCTTTAAGGATTTGCGATATGTACCGTTTGTTATTGCGATTTTTCGATTTCGCATGTATGAAGGGCTGATGTTCTTAAGCATGTGCATATGCAAGGACAATATGAGCTGTATTCAAAAAATTTAAGTTTTTCTGGGGAAACAAATGAACTAAAAGTTACTAATGCAAAATGCTTCTTTTACTAGAACCACAAGCTGCCACCAAATGCATCGAATCATGCTGCAACTTTATTTAGAAAAATGTTTCCCTGTAGTGAAATTGCTGAGTACCAAAATAGCTGCAGTTGTTAAAGAAATGGGTATGGAAAATAAATCTGCAGATATGATAGCATTGAATATGTGATTACACACTACACAAATTTCCAATCAACGATGAAGTGATTTTACATATGAAGTTGCAGTTGCTTCTGTTCTAGATAATGTATCTTTTTCCAAAATAAGATATTTTTAGTAGATTTTCAGTTTTACTTCATTTACTTTTAAAAGACAATGTTGCAGTTTACAGCTAGAAAACCAAATAATTTATCAGGTTATCTAACTTGTAATTTTAGAAAACTTAAGTTTTAAAAAAATCAGTGAGATTTAAACATTTTGTATGCCTGTGTAGGATAAGAACAAGCGTAAAACAGCTGTTTTCTCTTTTTAGCAAAACTCTCTTTAAAATGTTTAATTATTAGTGAAAAAAATAATAATAATAATATATGGTAAAAACTTCATTCTTACATGAAATCGTCGCAAAACTCTTTTTTTTTCCCCTTTCTTTTCAGTCATTTAAATTTTATGTATTGTGTTTTGGAGTTTCATGTGAAAAACAACCAAAGATATTATTTTTCCTTTGAAAATAATCTTTTATGTGTAACAAAAATTACATAAAATATAATTTTATCTTTCATTTTTTAGATTTGGTTGAAAATTTTGATGAACCATCAAAAGCTGAAGGTGTGTAATGTAAAAATAGAATTTAAAGCCCTGTATTAACAACTGTAATTTTATTGACTAATGGTTATTGCAACCATTAGCCTTGTTTTCAAAATCCGTGTATCAAAATGTGTGTAGTAAACTGAAATTTGTACAATGTTTGGCCCCATCATTATATTACAGTGGTGTGCACAAGTTCAGCAGTTCAATGAGACAAGCAAAAGTGTGGTCATTCATGAGAAGCAATGAACCTTAATAAAAGTGTCTTTTTCTTTATAATTAGTTTCTTCGGCTTGATGCTTTTTTATGTGAAATTATTTTTGTATGCTTAAGAATATAACAATCTTTAGGTTATAAATTAATTGCATGTTTCATTATTAGTTTTATTATCCAATTTAGAAAATTTTAGTTTTATTCAAGTTATTTGCACAGAAATGTTTAAAGTATGTGTTGAAAAAAATTTAAGAGAATGTCTATCAAACTTTTCTCTGTTTTTAGTACTGAGTAGTGTACATTATTTTATTTAACTTCTGTACTTATTGTGTTAACTTTTCTTTCTGATGCAGTTTAGCATCTAAATACTTTCTAAATTAAATGCATGTAAATTTTGTTTATTGTATGGAAAATATTGTATCCATTTGTAGGCTAATATCACCTCTACTAAGAACTAACATTAAACATTTTTTTTTGTCTTAATTCTCTGTGTATATTAAGAAAAGGAAATCAAAACTTTGTCTTATAAACAAAGCAATGTCAGATAAGAAAACACTGATTAGGATTTATTTAATTATTTTAATTTACAAAAGCTATGTCTGAATTGTTTAATTTGTAATTTTGAGCAAGCTGCAACATTTTCAAAAATTTTGTTTATGTAAGTAGATTGTTTTCATTTGCTAGAATGACTCATGCCAATTAAAAACTTATTATTACTTACATTGACAAAAATATGGTGCCAGCTGTCACAAAAACTTCAATCATTGAGTAAAATCTTGCATGTGAGAATTTATCCAGATAGCTTCTGCAAAAGTTTATGTTTACAAAATTTTAGGGCATTTCAGTTGTAGGACAACACACACCAAGCAATTTCCTCTGCAAAGATATCCTAGCAAAAACATACTTTCTTCATTTGCTCATTTGAACTGTGCTAAAATTTTTCTAAAAATTTGAAATACATCTCTTAAGTTAATTATTTCATTAAAGAAGGAAATAAAACAATGCACTTCTAAAACTTTTTATTGATAACACTTTGAAATTGCAATACTGATTGATACAAGCAGTAAAAAAATATATTTAATTTAATTGTGACCTATAGGTGGTGGTGAATGTTAATCTGTAATAGAAAAAGGATCAGAATTTTGTGACTGGCTTCAAATAAATAAGAAATATTCCTGGGTTTGAGGCTCTTTAAGCCTCAAGTATATGCATAGTAATATCTGATCTGTTTTTTACTGCTGTTGTTATTGCTGAATAAATATAAAGTTTCTTCCAGCACATAAAAGAAAGAAAACTTTTCTAAAATTTGTATAAAAAATATTTCAATATCACTGCAGTCTTATTTCCACCAGATATTTTACATTCAGGTTATGGTGAAATTAGTTAATTAGAAATTCAGGTTATGGTGAAATTGAACATGATTTCTTAAAGTCAGTGCTTACTCGGGATCAAATCTGACTGTAGATATGTAGAATGATTACCTGATTACAATAGCATATGGAAGGGTGTTTAGCATAATATAATTTGTGTGTATATAATTACATTAAATCGGTAAATTTTAATATTTTTAGTAGTCTTTTCACCATTTTTTGTCATTGAAAAGCTTTTCCTAATATTGAATGTAAATATTTATGTTTTGCACTCATATTTCTACATTTTGTTATAAATTAAAAACACTTTTAATGTTAGTTCTATGTCTCTGAAATTTTTCATGTCTTGCTGTGTTTCTGTGGGAGGAGGTAATTTCAGCATGCTTTTGTGGTCAAGATTTCTTTCCTGATCTGGTTTTTCAAAAAACTCATTAATTTCACCTGCAGCTTTGTCCCAGTATATCATTATACTCATTAATTAATTATTCATTGGTGAAGTTTTTAGATATGATGTTATCTTTATAACTGTGAAAGAGCAAGATGCCATTCTCTTGTGACTCTTAGCTCTGTTTAAATGGAACATGCTACTGTTGGAAATGAATTCTTTAAAACTACTTGAAATCTTATTGAAGCATTTCCATATTTTGCATGAGAATGATATCTAAATACAAATTTAATAATTTATATATAATTTAATTCAACATGAAACCACAAAATTATGAGCATCTGACTTTTATACGGTAGATGTTGCTTAATGCAGTTATGTTTGCTTATCCATGACTGTTTTGATAACATTAAGCAATGAGAAAAATAGTGTTCAAAACATCAATGGAATTGAACTAATTTAGGATAAATATAACTAGAAGAAAAGGTAAAAACTTAATGGCATATTGGCTAGGAAGAAAGATTACTAATAGTTGATTAATCTGTAAATGTTATGCTAAAATTCATTTATGAATTGCTTGTATTGAAAATGTTTTTGGAAATTATTTTGCCAATGCTGTGCCCTTATTCGTAATACTTGTATGTCCCTCAGCCTAACATTCTTAGGAGGTTAACTAATTTTTTAATCTTCAGAGATTTTATCATGTTATGTGCTTGAGTTTTTTATCACTATTCACACAAGTATTAAATTCCTTAGTTCTTCAGCTTCCTCTGTTTCATCATGTATTAAAAAAAAGGTTTGTAAGCTCTAAAGCAGTTGTCCTTTCTGAGATGCCTTTCTGAGACATGTGCAGCAAATGCAGTGCATCAAGAAAGCTAGTGTCCCTTGCTGATTCATTTGCACTGGTATCATCTGTGTAATAAAGGACTCTTAATGCTTCATTTTATTGGGATAATATTCTTTCATTGTTGTAGTAATCTCTTGTTCACGTGGCTGTGGGCATTTGCTGGCAAATATGTAACTTTAGTATTTTAAAGAAAGCATTTACATAATATGCTATACAGTTGTAAAATAAAATCACAATAATTAATATGCCAAAGAATAAATGCTTTGTGTAGAGAAGCAACGAAATGGCATAGCCTAGAAAAAGTACTATGAACTGGATCCTAGAAAATCACCAGAATTGATTAATTGTAACAAGAAACAGCTTACGTTTGTTTACCCTCCCACTGTGCATCCTGTGATTTCCGCGGGGATGAATTTTTGCCGTCTATTTAACTATGCAGTCCGCTCTTTCCTAGTTCAAGGCTTCCTTTCGGCTTTTCTGTGGTGTTTAATTGTTTATTTATATGTGTGCTAAAAGATGGCGTTACTTGTCCACATTTCTGCCAAATATACAAGAATACGTAATGTAGCATTTTGTGCACGCATTTCAGAGTTCAAAGGTGTCTGGCTATATTTCCTGTGTGTTTCAAGTGATTTAGCGTATATTTCCTGACGATATTTCTGACATTGATATTAGTTTTGACTCTGATTTCAAATATATTGAAGATAGTTATATCGAAACTGATGAGAATTTCTCGGATTCCTCTGCAGATAGTGATAAATCTGAAAATTCAGTTTCTATTGAAAGTGTTCAACAATGGTGCAAAATATTACATTATGCAAATATTTTCATTAGTATATACTTTTGTATTTTATAAAATAAATCATAATTTAACCAATATTAATTTTCAAAATTTTCCTTTTATATCATTATTTTTCAATTTCAGTAATCTGAAGACCATTTTCTATGATCTAATTCTATATTGAAAAAAAAAAAAGTTACACAAAAATTTTTTGTATATTTTCACTCTAGAATATATGTAGATTTGAAATATGAAATAAAAAATACATAATTTTTTAACCTAATTTGATAAAAAAAAAAAAAAAAAGAAACTTACACAGTAAGAGGTTTAAAAAGTGAACACCAAAGAATGCAAATGAGAGTGAAACCTTTACCACAACAATGGGGTGATATAGTTGCTTTATGGCTAGGAACAATCTAGTTCTGTGAGAAAAAACAAGTTTTGATAAGAGATAGAACTATTGATGTGAAAGGAATCAAAATCGTTCACATAAAAACAACACATTACAAAAAAATCTCACCTTACCATAGTGCTTTTCTGCTTGGCAGATGCCAAAAAATCAAAACTCATGGTTATTTTTAAAATGATGATGATGTCAAAGTAAAATTTCCCAGATGGTGTTTTCTTTCATGTTCATGAGAAATGATGGATAGATGAAAACCGTGTGAAATTGTGGATAAGAAATCATTGCCATCCTCTTTCCTTAAAGAATCTAGCGAGTGTTTTTAGTTCTACGGGTAAATATTCAGATCTCATCAAATGGATAGCATGAAGAAATTGTTGAAATGTAATGCATACATGGCAGTTATTCCAGGTAGATTAATGCTGTTAGTTCAGCATGTAGATGTCTGTATTGATAAACCAGACAGATATTTAAAATGACATTGGAATACATAGATATTAGAAGCTGAAAAAATGTTTGCAGAAGGAGGCCAGGTACTTAATGCCAGTCTAGAAATAGTGTGCGAGTGGATATTAAAAGCATAGAATGAAATTTAACATGACAAAATTCTAGTCATTTAAGAAATACAGTATATCTATCAATCTAGATGGAACAGAAGGTGATAATTTATTTATAGATCAAAGCAACAATGATGGTGAAGATGAAAGAGAATTTGATGTGCATGAAGGTATAACATCAAAGTTTTCATGTCTTCCGATAGAGATTTTTTTCAGTTTATATGGTATATCATTTCTTTTAAATAACCAGCATTTTGTTACATGTAGAAATCTAATTTTAGATGCTTATCTTTTCCTTATATTTATATCCAGTATGTAATGCGCACCAATGAATTACAGTCTTATTTTTTTTATTTAAAAATGTGCTGGAATTATATGGTGTCTTATTATGCTATGCATGGAAAATTTTAAATTTTTACATAAAATTCATTAATCTAAAACAGTGTTTAAAATACTTTAAAGTCAAAAAAAATTATTTTAGTCTTTTGGTAAGTTATATTATGATAACAGTAATAACTCTTATAGTAAGTTATTTTATATCAGAGAAAAACAGATCAAATGTTCATAACATTTCTGTGGCAGTAGTTAACTGTGCATTAGGTAATATCATATACCCTTACAAAGCAGGCATGTAAAGTGATCACGTGACATTGATAGCTATAAATAATTTCCATGGTCACTTTTCCAATAATTTAACTGGCCTTATTTATTTGCAAATAATTTGATACACCACTGGATTTGGACTACGCGTATTGCATTTTACTTAATTCTCAGTATTTAAAAAATTTTGTATTTCAGATATTTTAGAAGTAATTGTGTGACCCTCATTTATTTCATTACTTAAAAACTGTTTAACTAAATTTTAAAATATTTAACTTTGCATTTTAATGTAGCATATGCATGGCACCCGATAATCTGTTTTCATTTATGTGACAAATAAATTAACAAATCTTACTTAAAGAGAAAATCTAAACATTTCTTACAGAATAGTATTTTGAAAATACATGGCAAGTTGTGTTATTGATGGAACTTTATATTTAAACGGAGACATTTGTACCCAGGCGTAGCTTTTTGTGAGTGCCAGATTGATGTTATGACTTTTTTGTATGAAATGTTTTCTACTCTTGGCAACCAGGAGAG